CCGCCGTTCCGCTCAGGAGGGCTCTCCGCACTGCGAAGTGATGGCTCGTGCGGAAGAAACCAAATGGGGGGAGGAGGGGTGGCTGGGGCTTCAAAAGCGGAAATCCAGCTCCTCCCTTAGCAGTGATGGGAGCCTTCCCACCGATCCGACCCCCCTCCTCCCATTTCTCAAAGGAGACCCACTCTCCGGGGACACAACAGCATGAGAACAAGGTGAAAGGGAGCCTTTCCAGATCACTGCAGAGAAATCCTTCAGACTAAGGGCCAATTTCAGCAATCACCCCCCATGCTAGCCAAGGAAAACGAGATCCACTTCATGTTCCATTTCTTTGTGTTGATCTGTGCTGCATCGCGGCCTGCGACTATTTAGCTAGCCGGCACGTCCTCCCTTCCTCCCTCTCTCTGTTCTTTCTCTGGCTCGAAAAGGCGGGTACTGTGCCAAGCGGTCAACCGCGGCTTCTTTGCATTGTCACAGGACAGAATCAATTCCACATTCTCACCTACGGGCACTCCTCCCATCCTCAAACAGAAAGGCCATCACTCGGAAGGTGGAGGGGACAGCTCGCTCTGTCAAGAGCACTCCACGTGAAAGGGAATGGTCCGGTCTCACACTCAATTTATCCTCTTTATTACAACCTGAGCAGCCAGTTTACTAGATGAATTCATTGACTAGTAAACGGAACGAACCTTTAATTTTGAGTTTGAGATACACTGTATAGCATTTTTGATCTTTTGCAGCTGATTATTCAAAACATTCACTTCATTAAAGCTACAGTTATTTATAAAACACTTCAGAGCTTAGTTAGAAGTATTACAATTACACAGTTAATTCAATAATTAGACTATGTAACTGAGAGCTCTGGAGGACCAGAAACAAGATTAGAATTTGAGAACCCTTCCCTAGGAGAAGAATATAAAAACTGATAAAACCAAATGGCAGGAAAAGAAGAGGAGAGGAGGGCTCGTCTTTTTTATTTCTTGTTTTTTTTTTATATATTTTCATTGTCCTGCTGCAAGAGTGCACTGTGACTTTAACAAATACCTTTCAAAACCCCAGGTACATTTATAGATGTTTTTTTTTACCTTCACTGTGCTCAACCAACCTTTTTATTTTTCGGGCCACAGCTGTCAAAGATAACTGATCCCTAGACACTAATTGGAGAGACACAGACAATTGACCACGGTATAGGAGAGTAAAAAAGGTTAGCTGAAGCTCCATATCCTCTCATTTTAACTCGCAGTAGAATACAAAAGCTCACTGGTGCCCAAATTATCACCTCAAATCCCAACAAATGAATATGATATTGATATAATCCTTTTCCATCAATAGCAGTTAATTAATTCATTAGCAACACACAATATTAATATTGAAAGTGGCGCGCTGTGCAACGTTCCGTGACTCCCAATTAAGACCAAGCCCTAGAGATCATTTGTCGAGGAATGGGTAATAGGTTTTTCTCAGCGAGGATTTTTATGGCATGTCAATCGATTTGCCTGCATTTCCAGTGGGAAGCCGGCTCTCCTGTGGAATCGGCGTGGGGTTTCGGGATCCACGCTTGCATGGATGCAGCGCCACAGCAGGAGCTGTGGGGCGCAGTAGCTCTCCCCAGGCGAGCACGCTGCTGTCCAGGACTGCATAAAGCAGACCTTCGACACAAATAATGCAGAATGGAAAGAAAAGCATTCCTGCACCCCCTGATGTGCAGCTCTCACTTTCTTACAGAAGACGCTAGTCTTCAGACCTTGGATTGAATGCTAAACAAATATGTGAAACCCCTGACATTAACTACTGGAGCAATAAATCACCATTAGCAAAGCATGGAATGTTTTCCTTCTGATTCTTTGTTTGCAGCCTTCTCCAACGCCCCTGGTTTCTGTGTGATCAAGGGTGGTGGTGGGGGACGGGGGACGGACAGGGGCTTCTGTTTGTTCCTGTGATTTGTGCTTGAGGTCTAATTTGTATAGTCTGCTTAAGGAAATGGAATATACTTAAAGAGTAAACCAGAGATAAAGAGGAAGGTGTCAAGAGCTTCATCCTGCAAAAGAAAAGGAATCTCAGAAAGAACATTTCTGTTGTATTAAAGGGACTAGGAGAACACATACTACCCTGCTGCTTTGTATTACCATACAAACAAAAGCTGTCACTCAGAATCCCCTTGCGTAGCAGGGATTGTGTATTTAGATTAGTCAGAGAATGGAACAGCCCAAATTCACTGTCATGTTCCATAATGAAGAGATACCCTAGAAATCGGATGGTGACCGTGAAGGATATTAAAGCTCACACTTGAGTTACTGGTTGATGTTGGCCTGACACAGGGGGGATGCACTCAGGGGAAGAGAAGAATATGGAAATGACACAAGTGGCGATCCATGTGTTCTGGCCAACAATGGCTGGGAGCCGCTCTCACTGTCCTCGCCCTTCACAGCCACCCCAGCGGGCGTAGTGCACTTACCGGTGACCTCGAGGGGCACGGTGTCCTGCTCGTCGTCGATGCCCACCACCACCTCGCAGCGGTACAGCCCGGAGTCACTGGAGCGCAGGCCGGTCAGCGCCAGCGTGGCGTTGTAGCGGTTGTCGGGGTACCCGGGGAGGGTGACGCGGCCCTGGAAGTCCTTCTTGACCTTGATGACGTTGTCCTTGGCCACCAGGACGGACTGCTCCCGCCCGCTGAGCATCTTGGTCCACTTGATGCGCGGGGGCTCGTGGGAGGGGCTGGGGCGCAGGGTGAAGACGCAGGGCAGGAAGGCGACGCCGGCCAGCTCCTCCCGCACCATGCGGTGAGTCACCTTCCTCATGTTGACCAGCTTGTCGCCTGCAGCCAGTCCTGCAGGGGGCGCAAGAGACACAGGGGTTGACATCTGCCACCACTCTAGACCAACATCCAGCTGCCCAGTAATAACACAACAAGCGACCTCGCATCGCCTGATGCTCAGACACCCTGACTCTGATGCTCAGGGTGCTGACTCAGGAAGTCCTACAGAGAGCGCAGACACTTATTTTTTCCTTTTTAAAAAAAAATAAATGAAACCGCTGTCACAAATCCAAAAAAATCACAGGTCCATCCTAAACAGGAATACTCTTTTGTGTATTCTTATTTTACATAATTAATATCACCTTAATTAGTTCACTGTTAATATTATTTCCAAGGTCTTTAATCAGAGACAAAACGATGAGGATTCTTACATTACCTGTAGGGCTCTGGCTTTTAAAGATCAAAGCATTTTTGATCTGAAATATCCTGGATTATCTTTATTAGCTGTTATTGATGTTTCTAAATCACAAGACCGTGGTCACAGGTACATGATTTCAGACAAGGTGAATTGACGTGTCAGTCATGTTGAGGGGTGAGACATCGAGGTGAAACTTGTGATGGTTCTCTGCTTGAACACCCACAGATGCGCTCTTTAGGTAACTCATCATGACTCAAATCGGCAGGTTGAACTCCACATTTGTGTGAATGTGTCAAGAACTTTAGACACCAGGAGATAGAAGGTACACATAGCAGTGCAGTGATCAACACCTTTACTTTACAGTGAACAGCATGGATGTATCTCCTATGTCACATCCAGCTCCTTTTCATGCAGACTTGGAGATCAGTTCCTTCTTTTCTTTGTACAAACAAGTTACAGATCCTCACACACTTCCTTAGCAGTGTCAACTAATCTGAGACTTCCCTGGAATCAACAGACTGTGCCAAGGTTTCAGAGTTGATGCACAGCAGCGCTTGCCGAACTGCTGAAGGATGTCTTGATCTCTCAGGCAGCTAACAAGTCTCCATGGACCCCCCCCACACCCCAGTGTTTTTGCTTCACAGAACTTCCTGTTAGTTTAATTGGGGGGTGTCTGGGCAAAACTCCCTGCTCATCAGGAATTCAGGAAGCACAGAGTAATTTCCAGAGTGCCCCTCCGCTGTCGGTACACACCTGAGATAGCATCTCATTCTCAGGCAGCTTGACAACTTCAAAGCAAAAACGTGATGCAGGTGTATTAAGAGGTGGTGTCACCACAGACTGTGCGGCAAGTTCCCCTGATCCATCTCTTATTAATCACAATGAGCACAGAGATCTGGTGAAGATAAAAGTGGAGTGTGATCAAAATCAAGTGCACTTAAAAACCTCTTTTTTACATGCTGAGGATGAAATTTCATTTCAAGCTAATTTTAGCATAGTAATATCCAAGAGCAGTGACATTTAGCTGAAAAGTGAATATAAATATATAATGTATTGATTTATTTTTCATTATGTACACTTTTGCTACACCTACAGCCAATTCTGGTATTTTGCTTGTAGAAGAGTTTAATTTGACAAATGGCAGAAACTTTGGGTAGTCGCAGAAACTGTGTCCCCAGCACTTCAGTTTATCGACTCTCCAAATTGATTAACTTGCTGCTGTTTCAGGAATAATGCAGCCATTACGTTGGGCGCAACTGTTTCCACTACGCCTCGCAATTGAACCTGCCTTTCCACAGGCAATAGGGAATTGGTGCTCGTGCCCTGGCTTTTTTTTTCTGGTTTGTTTGAAATTCAAGCTAGGCAGTGCTGCATTAACATCAGATTTCATTCAGCCTTCAATCTCCTGGTGCAATTCAATCACAGCTCCACTGCCTCACTCCTGATCCCAGCCACATTTGGCCCAGTACAGAGGAGAGGGGTTTCTGCAGCTACCTGAAGATGTTGTGGCTCCCTCTGGGGAATGGAGATTGCAGTCTGCATGCAAACTGTCATTTATCATTTCTGCTACAGAAAATATATAGGGTATATATATATATTAAGCGACATACATGAACTAAGTTCTTTTCCTGTATTAACATTTCACGTTTGCAAGTGCACTTCAATGCATGACAGGCAAGACCTTTTTAAGCACACAATGTTTTGTGTAATTGTTAGCTATTATAAAACCAAGAGCAGAAAAAAGAGTCATAAAAATGGACCTTGTTTTAAGTCGAACACTTAGTTATTATCACTAAAATATGCACCTTTTCTCATCGCCCTGCCACATGTGGGCACAGTAGAGATCATGACTGATCCCACTGCCACACAACAGCCCTCACTGGCTTGCTTCCCACCTCCAGCCCTTCACCAGGCTGTAAAATTGCCTCTAGTGAAAGTCATGCCTTTGGCAAAAAACAGATCAATACAGAGCAACGTTTTGTGAAATGACTGCTGCACCCTTAAGCCAAGCAAGCAGATACAGAGGAACATGAAGAATCTGTGTGCATTTCAAGACAGGGGAAACACACTGAAATGTTTTTAAGTTTTCATGATTTTGGCATACTGCATTTGTGAGAGTGTGTTCTGCATATGTATAATCCATTAGGATTATTGTTCTTGTTCTACCCTTTAACTCCTGTTTCAGCAATGCTGAATGAACCCACAAGACTCTCTTGCTGACCACGTCCTGAGGGCTCGAGATTTCCAGTCCCAGCTTTCTGAACAGGGCAGTCAAGGAACTCTTCCTTTTCTGGGACGATGCAACTTGAACCTGACTCGTCTGGGGCTTCAAGCGGGATGGTGACAAAATTAGAGCACACTCAACCACCTTCAGCCCTTGTTGTTGATAGAATTGAGATTTAGAAGGGATTCAAAAGTCACTGAAAGAATTCTACACCCATTCCTTTTCAGACGGTCCTTTTTCCGAGACGGTTTATTCTGCACAAGTTTTAACGCAGAGACGGAGCTTTTTTCCTTTTAAATGCATTCCATCTCTTATTCCTGCAGTTCTGAAACTCCATTAAAGAAGTATCATAAGTCCAAACCCTAACCTCGAGTAGGGTGAAAACACTTTACTTTGAAACCGAACACATTACGAAGCAATACAATATTTACCACACCGGGCCTGCTTGAGTGCCGCAAATAGATGTGCAATTTCATTCGGCAGCGTATTACTTTTTTTTTTACAAAAGCACTATAGGTAATGTACCTTATTATCCAGCACAGTACTTAATAAAAATTGATAGCTCTTACAAGCTGTGCTCTGTTGATAGCATCTTCCATTTTTCAGGGCCAGGAATGGCACCCAGAAACTCAGAACCAAGTGGAGCAAGTGCAGATTGCCTTTGGAACAGGGGTAGATTGGAGTGAATGAGCTTCCAGATCAGGCAGCATGAAAGCCAGGACAGGGAACCGATCAGTTGTCACAGAGCCCTCGCTGAGAACAGACACCCGAAAGCCCTCACACTGCGAGGGGCGGAGCCTTGCAAACATATGTGGTGTTTTTGTTTTCCCAAGTTCCATCGGGGTGAATCATAAAACGGAAACCACACAGAGAGAGAGATCTAGGCAAAGCCAAATACAGGAAAGCTGGCCAAGCCAGAAATCTGCTTTGGTTTTAGTGTTCAAAATGAACACGTTTCATATTCTACCTTTCGCAAGCTCTGAGCTCAACAGAGAACGGCTCTTTTTTTAAGTATTACTATCATCCTTGCGCTTATTCATACAGTGCATTGCAGGCTTAGAATCAGGCTTTGCTGCCTTTTGCTCGCTATGTAATACCATGCTGATATGAGAAGCAGGGCTGCTCTCCAACTACAATTTCATGATTTCTCTGGTACTCAACCTGAGTGGGTTTCGCCAGTCCATAGCTGTAACACGCATGGCAAACAGCAGATTAAGAAACCGTCAACCTGAGATGCCTTTTTTCATCCAACTAGAACAGATGTGAAACGAATTAATCAGTGATAAAGACATGCATCACTAGTTTCCCCAGTCCCCGGTCAGCTTTGCTACAGTACGGTTGTTTTGCGTGTTTTCACTCTCCCCTATTCAATCTCTGACGCTAAATCAAAAGGAATCAATTGAAGATACTTTTTTAACCAGATTATATTTTAAGGGGGGCGGGGAAGAGGGAGGAAAAAATGGCTTTATTCCCACATGGTAAAATAATGAATGTAAGCAGCAAAGGCTCTCAGCAGTAGAAATTGCAAATCTGCATTTAGATGGAAATGTTTTTACAAGCATAACCCTCAAGAGACCCTCGCTTTGTTTGAAAATCCACCCGCCTTTTTTTTTCCCCTAAATGAGACGCAATCAGACAGTCTTGCAAAAAAAAAAACAACACTTTGCAGGGCAAACACTGGGCATATGAGAGAGAGAGCTCATTTCTACAAGGGGGCGGGGGGTGGGGTCGTCTTACATGATTGCCAATTTTTCTGCATTTCAAAGAACCCCTCTTTTGTTCTGAGGTTTTCATTATTCACTCCCATCGGAAGTCTTTATCTCCGCATAGTGGCGATGAGTGGACACAGTAAAAAAAATACTAATAATTAATTACCATGATAGAGCACATTTGCCAGTCATTTTCCACCTGCTCCTCTGCCTGCTTCTACCTGTAATGAATTTATCATTGACAGAAGTCCTCACCCTTACCCTTGACTACTGGTTCAATGCAAAATGCCCCATCAATCCCCACCAAACAGAACTTGCACCAGAGTTCTGTTTCCGAGTTATAGGACTGGCGTGAAACACAAAGCAAAAGGGCTTTGAGCCGGGACAGGGAATAAAGCCGTGCACAACAGTGAATGGAGGGACCTGAAGGGAGTCTTTTATTGTGCAAATCCAGCCCCAGAATCCACTTGCATCAATTGAAAATGGACAATCGCCCGATTGAGAATGTTTTTTAATTGAGTAGGGTTTTATGGTTTATTAAGAGTGTGTACTCATTGTAAGACATCTATTGTGGAGTAAAGTTTGATTAAAAAGAAACACAAAGCAGTAAGGAGTCATTTGAAATAAGGCAGGTTTGTCAGACAGTAAGGGACCAAAGAAGAGTCTACAGTTTACTGGTACCTTGTGTAAGAAGGAAGGAAGGTGATTGGTACAGTTATATCTACACCTTCCAACACAAGACCAAGTTCTCCCAGGCACATCCTCCATCGTAACGTATCCTTCACTTGAAGGACGCCATATCCATCATCCAACTTTTTTGCTTAAACGTTTCTGCAAGCATGTCCTCACAAAGCGAAAATTTCAGCAGCATCAGATCCACAAGAGGCAAAAACGTCGTTTTCAGGGACGACCACACAGGAGTCTGATCACTGGGAGAGTGATCTTCCTAGGACAAGCTTTACGGGTGCATTTCTATAGTGCACACACGTGTGTGTGTGTGTGTGTTGGGGAGAGATGGGGGAAAGACTGCCAAGAGCACACTGGCTGTCCAAGGGACTCGGCGGTCTGGGCACTGGGGGGGGCCGTGTTTTGGTCAAGCAGCAACAAGCAGCTGTGAATGTTCTGGACTGGCCAATGGGGGTGTTTCCTCCATGTGACCAATATTCTTTTCACTGACGGACAAAAGAGGGAACTAAATAGCAAACCGTGCATTACGCGTGACACGTTTCACATACCCTGCACTTGCGTCGTGGGGTCTGGAGGGATGCATGTTGCATGCATCTGTGTCAGCTGTTCCAGGTTTTACAGTGGCTGCTGTAACAATGTCCATGAGCATAAAAGCACTGTTGAGATAGTTTCTGTATCTCATGCCCCTAAATAAAGTGCGTTTCCTAACTTGTAGCTGTAATTATTTCTCATCCTCTGCACACGGACGGTGGAACAACTAGGTTTTGTCGATGGTTTTGACACAGCAGATTCTGAGCCCGGCTGATGTCTCTAGCTAACTGGGATTTCCCAACTGGTGCTGCACTGCTGGGCACAGCTGGCTGAGGTCCAGGTGACTGGGATCAGCCAGGACGCTCAGGGCCCCCAGCTAAAAGGTCACCCCTGTGACGTCCAGGGCGCCGGCTTGCTCATGGCGACGTCACGGAGGACCGTGCCTCTCCTCCAGCGGGCACAGAGGGGCGGGCCAAGAGTCGGACGGCCCCACGGGCGGGCCGGAGTAGTCTGTCTGCGCTTCTACATTCCCGCCGCGTGGGCGCGGGCGGGCCGAGCTGTGGAGAGGCAGCTGGCGGGTCCTAAACTGGGCGGGCAAATTTCAAACGAAAACAAAATAACCTTGGTCTACGGCAAATTGAGAAAAAAAAGCGATCAGAGGTGGGGGGGGGGGAGATTAAAGTGCCCTGATAACAGCAATGCAGAGCAGTGCAGGTACAGAATGACCAAGCGCACTGCTGCACCCAATTAGAGCCAACCACCTGCCTGGGAGAGCTATGCACTGACCGGCACCTGAAAACAAAATGATTAGTAATAATAACCATGGCAACAGCAACACAATTGATGGTGGGGGGAGACCATTGTTATCAGAAAAATGGTAAACCATTCAACAGCTATCCATTTCATGGGCTCTCTATGGAAGATCTCTGCCAAGCATTCATATAGGTATTGATTTAAAGGCCTTATCACCACTCCCTAACACTTACAGTACACATAAGTGCCAGTTTCACTACAGCCATATGCTCCTCATTCTTGTTGCCTGGTGCTTTTCTGTGACAGCTGGAAGCGCACTACAGGAACAGTAAAATGCACTTGGCTGTATAATTGAAAAGCTATTTCTTGAACCCACGAAAATTAATCTTTCCTATTGACTCTCATGCTATGCCTTCAAATATTTTTAAATATGACATTTTAATGAGCTTATTATGGATGGGGCAGCCAGGCAATTCCTGGCGATTTCATTTAAATAAAGAGCAAAGTTTTTTTTTTCCTTTTTTTTTGGCACCTGTCACATGCACAAAAAAAAAAAAACAAATGATCTGGGCTCATTTTCCCTGATGGTTTTGCTTTATTTCGGCTGAAAGAGGCAGGGATTGCCCTGACTTCACGTAGATATTAAAAACAAATAGACGCTGCTGTATATGTGTCAAACTGGTTGCAGTATGCAGCGGTTTGTAATGACTTTCCCATGGTAGAGCTCTCTTGTATGAAATGCTCTCTGCAGGCTTTGTTTTGCGCTTGGCTCCTCTCATGAATGATGAATATTAATTATGACCCATGCCATGGATCTGACTGTGCCTGCATCTTCACATGTTTTAAATGCACACAGAAGGCACTGCTGTGACTAATTCGAATGCCATCTTGTCGTGATAAAATTATCCTCTGTGGCACAGGATTGCTGCTTGCTGTTGAATCCAACAGCGGAGGCCTAACAGCCAAGAGATATGCAGAAACCGTGCAATGTATCAATTGAGAAAGTAAATGAAATGTGATATTTTCAAGCATACTGTAGACTGTAGCTGTCTTTGTGCAATATGGGCACTCTTAAAAGAGCTTTAAAGCTGTCATCAGAAACTCTCTCAATCTCAAGTATGATTTCCGTTAAAGCAGGCTGCACCTGTGGGCTTTTCTAACACTGCTGCAAGATCAGCCTGTGAGGGGAACCAGTTGAGGCTGCAAGCTTGTCGCTGTCTCTGGGTGACAGGACACAAACATCCCACAATGCTTCCCAAAGCACGGCTGTGCAATTCACTCCTTGTAAAGAAAATGGGGCACAATTACAGGCCGGTGGCCCTGGGTGCCTTTTTTGATGCGAGAATCTAATAATAATTAATAATAATTGCTTACACTTATATAGCGCTTTTCTGGACATTCCACTCAAAGCGCTTTACAGGTAATGGGGATCCCCTCCACCACCACCAATGTGCAGCATCCACCTGGATGATGCGACGGCAGCCATAGTGCGCCAGAACGCTCCCCACACACCAGCTCTCAGTGGGGAGGAGAGCAGAGTGATGTAGCCAATTCATAGAGGGGGATTATTAGGAGGCCATGATTGGGAAATTTGGCCAGGACACTGGGGTTACACCCCTACTCTTTTCGAGAAACGCCCTGGGATTTTTAATGACCACGGAGAGTCAGGACCTCAGTTTTACGTCTCATCCGAAGGACGGCACCTGTTTACAGTATAGTGTCCCCGTCACTATACTGGGGCATTAGGACCCACGTGGACTGCAGGGTGAGCGCCCCCTGCTGGCCCCACTAACACCTCTTCCAGCAGCAGCCTTAGTTTTTCCCAGGAGGTCTCCCATCCAGGTACTGACCAGGCTCACACCTGCTGAGCTTCAGTGAGTTACCAGTTGTTAGTTGCAGGGTGATATGGCTGCTGGCAATCTAAGGCAGGGGGTTACAAAACAGAACACCTCCCGCATGGATCCCCACTAGCTAAACTGTGCAACTCCTGTGACTGACACTGTGTGGAGACCAGTAACAAAGAAGATGACTTCAGCGTCAACCAGCGGAAATGTGACTCCTATTCAGGTCTTGATTCCAGGTTTGGCACAGCTTCATCTACAGCAGGACTGAGAGAGAGCAGTTGATCTCCCTCATTTGAAGATGGGAGAAAGACATCTGTTTGCTCTTCAGATGAAATATTTCAGGCTCTCCAATCTGCGAGTTCAATCAAAAGACCGTGTCACCATCTTCGGAAGTTTCAGCCCCATTGCCCTGAGACTGGAGCACTAGGAAAGCCCATTTGCTGGCTATCCACACACTGTTAGTTTACCGCTTGGATGTTAAAAAAATCAATATTTCTTAAGTGTTGAAGGAGCCTTGGAGATTAAAGAATTATCAATCTGTCCTTCCTTTTACAATTCCACACAAGAAATAATACTGGTCCAAACTTTCATACTAAAACTGAACAAAGATGAAAACAAAAGCAAAGATTTTCCATAGGACTTTTAAAGACTCTAAATAACCAGCAGTCGATTGGATTTGGGCTCAAACAGGCCTTTTTCCTGCTGGTTTGATTTCAATCGTGCGCCAGAGACAGGGCTGGGGGCTCTGCTGGACTGGGAATGTGTTAATCAGCTGCTCAACATTATTCATCACCCCTCTTAAAAATTCATCTCCCAAACAGCCGACAGATGAAGAAAGACGATCAAGCTCCTGCCAACAACCGCTCTTCGGATTGCTCTGCATCTCGAAGATCTGCATAAACAGCGTGGGTAATTGGCACGCCTGGCATGCAGAGCCAGGAGCCGCGAGGAGCCCAATTACTGGGCACTTTGCTCCGTTGCCACTCCGCGCTGGCAGGCTCTGCAGCGAACACTGTATTATATTAATCGCTCCCAGACACCAGGGTCTAATCAACTCATCTGTGCAACAGAAAGGCCTCCATCCAGACAGCGTTTAGTTAATATTAAGAGGACGGTGGTTGAGATCCAACATCAGACACCATGAAAGCCTATAAATGACTAAATGACAAATAAAATTTTTCCAATCAACTACATGGAAGAAACCAAGCACAGGCTTAATGTCCTGTTACAGTCTCGCCAAGCCTTAGGGGGCTGAGATTTCTGAGGCCCTGAGGAAGGCTGTTCTTTTTCATGTGGGATAGTAGGGACTCACCAGGTTCCAGGCTTTGCAAGAGGAAAATAGAGACCAGTGCCCGCAGCCCAGTGCCAGTTGCTGGATTCCCCATCCTTGACCTGGAAGAGATAAGGAAAGAGGATGTGACTACAGGAGCAGGACTGAGCAGGAGTTAGTTTTGGTTTTTACTTCTGAGAGCTTAGAGTTTGACCACGTTTGGTGTATCTAGAAAGTGTTGTGAATCAAATCCTTGAAAGCAGGCAATTTCACTGCAGTTGTTTGTTTGTTTGTTTGTTTGTTTCTGCTTGTGACACCTGCTGTATCTATGCAAACCAATCTCTATGAGTTCTGAAATATTCCTTTCATTTTTTTGATTAACCATTTCGGAGTTTTCGAAACCAGATTCTGCTTCACACACAAACAGCCAAGGTAAGCGACCACAGACAGCTGTTTGGCCCGATTCGTAGCCTCACCATCAACAAATTTCACCAGTCAGGGTGCAGCTATGTCAAACTGATTGGCCCTAATAATGACATAATCTGGGATTGCTTCTTTTGATTAAATATGTATGAGGTAGAATTAAAACCCCGTTTTAGAAGGGTCCTTTTCTAACAGGCTGAGACAGTCATAGCAATTACATTAGCATATTTCCCATAAGTGCTTTTTGGCTTTTCTGGACACCCTAACTCTGAAATGGCATCTGCTTAGCTCAGACTATCATATGAGGAAGAACAAGTATGAACCGAGGGTCTTTAGCTATGGGACAGTATGTGTGTGAAGTACATGAAGCATTCTCTTTACAAAACAGCTACTGAATTCCCAGCCAGGAGCTGCTTCTCTTGATCGACACCAAATACCTGTTTAAATAATAGATTTTCGTGGGTTTGAGACACTGCAGCTCGGGGCGAAATGTGAACCGCACTTAGAGAGATTAGGCACAGAGAGCCGGTCTCCATTACATTACACACACACACCTGCTCAATGGCAAAAGGACATGACAGAGAATGGTTGATTATCTAACCCTTACACACACACACAGCCTTTTCCCCTATGGTTTAACAGAATATTAAAACAGAGAGGTTTGCTGTTCGTTATTCACCAGTGAGACTAGGACTCCTTAAGAAAAACTAAGTACTTTTTTCACCGAAGGAGTGTAGGAGAGATGTGGAGAAAGTTAAAAAAGCCAGGTTCTAGATACTAACAGCCTGCATCTCTTGCAAAGCACCCTGGAGAGATTCTCGGATCAGCAAGATACCAACAAACAAAGTTGGCCCAAATGCCTCAGCTCGTTGGTAGTCTTTCCTTAAACAGGTGTGTTTCACATGTGGAATGCCTGGTCAATCAAAACTCAGTTAGGAACCAACAGCATTAAGGAAATGAGGTGATCTTTCACTTTAAAAATAAAATATTTAAATGTTTTCACCCAAACAAATAATGTGATCAGTTGTATTCATTCCATAGCACATCCCACAGTCACTTTTGTTTTTAAAGCAGCCTTTGGTTATTTTACCATTTGGCCTGCTGCACAAAAACAGATTTTAGATCATGCAATCCAAGGCAGGAAGGCATGCTGTGATAGTTCTGAGTGCTTTTCACAATGCAGGCTTTTGTATGTTTCTGTACAATGAAATGATTGCAATAATAAATGCTAATTAAATCAGTGCCAAAGTGAGAGAGAAAAATCCTATACACCCAATAGAAGGCAACGCTGCGCCTCTCCTAGCTCAAGCAGAACATGATTTTTATTGGGAAAAAATGTCCATCGAAATTTTCAGATTTAGTCAATATCCAAAATAGTATTTAATGCATCGTACATTGCAAGAAGCCATTATATAAGCAGTGTTGACTCTTAATTAAAGTGTTTTAACATCGCATCATTCAATTCGGCATCATGGGGGAGTCAGAGCCTGTCCCAGCAGCCAATGGGCACATGGCAGATGACAAGCTGGATGAGACGCCAGTCCGTCGCAGTGCACACACACGCGCACACCGGGCCCAATTAACCTCCAAGCATGTTTTTAGCCTGTGAGAGCACCGGGAGGAAACCCACACGAACATGGGAAGAACATGCAAACTCCGCGCAGACAGCCCCCCCAGGTCTGGGATTGAGCCCAGCTAGGAGGCAGCAATGCGCCACCACGCTGCCCCCATTAAAGAGGTTTTGCTTTCCCGTAATCAGGGCTTTCTGAAAACAAAAAATCAGGGCTTTCCCTATCCAACTACTCCTTTCACATGAGGTTGACTTCAGCACAGCACCACGTCTCCTTTGTTCCTTCTCTCTCTCCACCCCACCCCCCCCGCCAGACAAGGCACAGCGCCCCTCTTCTTTCCAAATGACCTCTGCTCTCCGAGCCCGGAACCTTCCATCACCCCCAAACCCGGGGAGTCGATCTCTTGATTGTACCTCCGAGCGGCGGCTCGGCTGTGGTTTCGTGGGGCTCGGCGGAGGACCCCTCAAATTCCCCCTCCAATCACACTCGCATATACACGCAGCTCGCACAGATCCGAACCCTCTCTCGGGCACAGGCTCGCACTTATCACGATTATGGGCGCACGGACACACAAAGCGATTGTAAAGCTGTAAAACCCGCGACATGCTCTTGAAGCATTCCAGCGAATTTCCCGGCACCTTTTTATAAAAGGCAGTTGCAGGCACGCAGACGGAGAGAGCTCTCGGCAAGCACTTACTGAAGTCTATTATGCAGGAGTCATGCCGTCGTCTTCATTTTTATTTTTATGACGAAGCAAATGCATTATATACCTCCTTTTAAAAGTGCTGGCGTACCAGGAGTGCAGACCGAGGGTTCAGCCCGTGCGGCGCACTTCTCTCTCTCATTAATTGCGGAATTTAAAAGAACTTGCCAAATGATAAAAACACCTGCAGCTCCTGTCACTTCATTCATTCTTTTGTGTTACACAGGATAAATCAGGCTAAATGCGTTTCAAGAGAAATGTACGCACAAAGGCGCTTCCATATCTTTTAACTCCTCTGATTTTCCTCTTGTCTAACTGGTCTGTTCTTATGCTGAAGAGACTTTGCGTCACCTATAAAATACCATCCTTTGCGACATCTACGGTTAAGGGCAACGTCAGAGCTGATTGAAGGAAAAGACGGGGCCTACCAGTGAATACTTCAGTAATCTTGCTATTATGGATTTCCACGTTTTTTCCACACAGAACTGTCTGTCAATGTGGAGTGACAGACTATGTGGAATGTAGACCAGTGGTGTTCAGGTGACACTGCTTTGTTTTTGTAAGGACTGTGATTTTACTCTGATTTGTTACCCAGATCAGGGTGATGCAGCAGTCAGAGTGAGTCACCAGCACACCGGTGCATCTGCATATCTAATGATCAGATTAAGCATCAGTAGCCCATGCTTGCTGTCCCTCCCCCATATTATCCTTTACGGTGTCTTTTTTTCCCCATTCTCAGACCAGGGCAAAAAAAAAAAACAGTGCATTGCCAAGGTGATCGTTTTCTCCGTACAAGCTCTTCAGGAATGGAAAAAAAAACAACAAAAAAGAGGATAATGACAGTGGAGAGAGCTGTGCTCTGGCACGCTGCATCAAGAGTCTTCCTGCTGAGAGAGCCATTGGTCTGTGCACATCATCCATAAGGCAGATGGGCAAATCGCCCTGTAAATGCGGTTTGTGCAGTACATTTGCAGGACAATCCGGCACCTTTACAACTCTCTCCCCAAAGTTTATAGCTTCACTGTGGCAAACTTTATTTCAAAAGGCCTTCACTTTTTTCGAACATGATAATCTCCTCGCATGCAGCGAACAAAGATCCTGGGCAAGCTCTTTTCTGAATTGCCGAGGCACGAGAATGACTGTAAAACTGCAAATATTTGTTGGCGCCGGAGATATATTTCGGTCTATTTTCATCAATCTTTTATACTGCGTACTTTGGTGTGCTTCTACCAGTGTTAACAACCCAGCATACAGTGATAGGCAGCTGCTTTACAAGCCCCATGAAAACATGAAACTGTCTTTACAGATGATGCTAACTTACACCTTAAGTACCTATAAATTTTCTAATGCGCTCTGTGCATGTCTGACCTTCAGTCGCGGTGTTAAGGATCCCTTCAAGAGCTCCCTGACTGAGTGATGAGTTTTCATTTTGCCAGCTGTGCTGTACATCACCGCAAAAGAACCATCTGGGGGAGATGCTGCACTGGGGAGCAATTTTTTTATTTCCCTGTCCAGCGCTGAAGATGCATGCAATAACAGTCTGCCATTTGCATTTTAAATCAAACAGCATAATAATGAGGACTCACTGCTGTGCGTGTGCGAGGCGTCACAATTAAGAGAGATGGGCTCTTAAAAACACTGACACATTACCGCCCCAGTGCTGAAAGGGTCTGTCAATTACACAGGAGAGGATTGCATTACCCTGCCTGTTGGTAAGGAGCATTATCTGTTTTCATCCTCTCTGATTGTGTTTAATGTTGCTCTTCCCTTCAGCAGTATGTGATCTGGGTATAGATTGTGCAGTTGTTGCTGGTTTTTTCCTTTTCCCTGATAATGTACCAGGTATTAGGGGAGATGCACACTAACAGTGCCATTAGCAAAGAAACTAGAAAACAGAATTTCTGATGAAAAATGTCAGGGCTGTTTATATGTAGCTGATGACACCAGCCTCTCTGTTTTTGTGCACCTTTGTATTATTGGCATGACTTGCTTGGTGCTTGGTTCTGGAAGGAAGCTGAAGAGACAGGAACCGAACCAAACCTTAAAGAATGAGGAGGAACAAAACCTTAATGGTGCCAGTGAACTGACTTCCTAACAAGGCAAAATCATTTCTTCCCGCCCTGCACTTGGACCTTGTGAGGAAAGCAACAATTTCTTTTTCCACCCTTCTGCAAAAAGGTTTTTTTTCCCCCCCAAGATCAGAGAAGGAGCAGATGAGCAGATTAAAGTTAACCTGTCAGTGCACACAGGGTTTCAGCAGGTACTTTAAAACAAAAATGCACTTACACACCATTAGATGTTGGCATCCCACAGCTAAGTTGCCTGTCACAGTTGTGTTGGTGAGCGTGGTTAGATCAATAGCAACCTTTTCTAGAAAAGTAAGTGACAGAAGCAACCTTAAGATAATTCTGCTATATCACCCCAA